AAGTCACAAATATGTATGCCCCATGAATATACATACATGGAACACATATATGTGTGTGCCTCATGTGCGTATGTTCAAAGATGCATATCTATGTGTGCCCCATGCATGTATATACATGGGTACATATATACGTTTGCCCCATGCATGTACATATGGGTGTAGATATGTGTATGCCATGCACATGTGAACACAGGTTCATATACTCATGCACCTTGTGCATGTATGTGCACACCAGTTTTCCACCTACATGGACACACATATGGTCCAGAGCAGTGTTCACACTTTTAAAAAAAAGATTTTTCAATTGATTTTTAGAGAGAGAGAGAGGGAGGGAGAGAAAGAGAAAGAGAGAAAAACATTGATGTGAGAGTGAAACTTTTTTTTTTATCCTCACCTGAGGATATTTTTCCATTTTTTTGTACAGATAGAGTGGGAGGGAGAGAGAGGAAGGGAGAGAGAGAGAGAAACATCGACGTGAAGGGACACATCGAGTGGCTGCCACCCGCACGACCAACCAGGGCTGGGGACAAACTGCAACCGAAGTACATGCCCTTAGCGGGAACCGAACCCGGGTCTCTCCAGACCGCAGGCCGGTGCTCTAACCGCTGAGCCAAACTGGCCAGGGCGAGAGTGAAACTTTGATTGGCTACCTCCTGCACATCCCCTACTGGGGAATCAAGCCCGAAACCCTGGGCAAGTGCCCTGACCATCTTTTGGTGCATGGGACAATACCCAGCCTGAGCCACAATGGCCAGGGCACACACTTGGTTTTTCATGCTGGTTTGTTGTCTGCCCATGGGTTCTGCCACTTACCCATGTATCTCCAGGGTATCGACCGCTCACACTCCTGGGTGAATTCTGCTTATGCTCCAGGAGGCAGCAAGTCTGTGCTGCGGCGAGCACCTCCTTATTGCGGGGCTGAACCCAGACAGGTGCCCTTCCTCCCTGTCCCTGCACGTGTGTGACCTCACCTCAGCATGAGCTCCTTCTTAAGTCCTGGCTGCAGCCAACTAACCTAGAGGGGCTGCCTAAAGGAGGTGGCAGACCCGTCCTGCCTTTGTTTGGGTCTGTGGAGTCAGTGTTGTAGGCATTACAGGGTCATCTTAACCTTCTGCTGCCACATGGACCACAGTCTCAGGCAGAGACAGAAGGGATGGGTGGTATGTAAATAGCATGTAAATGAGATGCAAATCCAACCACTATAACCTCACTGCCCCGCATGGCCTATTTCTCACCCTTTAATCCACTCTGTTCAGGAAACTCTCAACTGTTTCTTTGCAACCTGAATGGTCCCAAGGGGACAGACCTGAACTTCTGAGCTCCCCCATCCTGTTTCAGTCAAAGAGGGAGCCCTGTGGGGAGCTCCCTTTATTCTGCTCCTTCCCAAGTTACCTGGTATGCAGAAGAGCTTTGCTTTCAGACAGACTTGGGTTTGAATCCTGGGTCTACTTTGGGCTTGGCTCACACCCCAGGCTCTGAATTTTCAGATGTAAAGATTTGAAGTAAAGTGCTCAGCACAACAGTCTTGAGCCTGAGAGAGTTAGGGCATTGCAGGTGGGATGTTGGTGACATAGATCCTCGGCCCAGCCTTGCCCCTGAGCTTCCAGCTAGTTGGGGAGATAGACACCAATCAAACAAGTGCACCAGTGTATGAGTGCACAGTGTGAAAATGCCTGAAAGGAAACAAACAGAAATGGGGCCACCAGCCTCCCTCTGGGGGGTCTGGTGGCTTCTCTTCAGAGAGGTGACATTTTTGCTGGGACCTGAAGGGTAAAATGGAGCCAGGAAGCCACAGGGGCTGGATTCTCTGCAACATGGCCCCAGGCCCTGTGCCTGTTGCTCAGGAGACCTGCACTGCATGTTGGTCCAAGGGACCATTAGCAGATTGGGCAGGGGGACTTTTGGACAGATTTTCCCAGGATTGCTGGGAATCTGGTTTCGTGGGTCCTGCCAGGCCCCTGCATTTTTTTTTTTTCAGTTGTTAATTTTCACCCAAGGATATTTTTTCTATTGATTTTTAGAGAGAGTGGAAGTGAGGGAGGGAGGGAGGGAGAGAGAGAGAAACATCAATATGAAAGAGACACATCAATTGGTTGCCTCCTGCACACACCCTGACTGGGGCCAGGGATTGAAGCTATAACCCAGGTACATGCCCTTGACCAGGAATCGAACCCGCGACCCTTCAGTGCATGGGCTGACACTCTAACCAGTGAGTCACACTGGCCAGGGTCCCCCTGTGTTTTTAACTGGACTCCCTGCACTGCCCTCAGATCTCTGAGGGATCAACTGGGCCTTGGAGATCACACAGGATGTGATGAGGTGGCAAGAGGGTGGGCGTTCCAGGTAGGAGATGGCACTGAGGCTGGCCTTTGCAGTGGATGGCCCACGCGGTACATGCTAAGAAGCCAGGGCATGTGTCTGAGATTGTGGGAGCTGGGTGGGGCCTCTACTGCCAAGGCCTGGGCAGGACCCAGGGCTGGGCCACCTCCATCATAGGGCCTGTTCTCCCTGCCAACAGCCTCACCTCCTAACTAACAAAGGAGGAAGGGAGAGTGGAGCTTGAGTCTCCATATCCATTTCACAGATGGGGACACTGAGGCACAGTGAGGCCCCAAGGAAGGCTGGAGTGGGGCCAGGCCTGGAACCCGGGGCTCTCAGCTGCTTCCACTGCCTCTCATCACCATCTGCCTCCTCCTATAATTCTTCCTGTTTCCTCTTCCATCCTCACTTTAACCTTCTGTCTATACTCTTCCCTTCACATCTGTCCACCCCTGAACTCACTGATTCACTCACACTCTCCACCCTTGTCCACACTCACTCTTACCTCCTCTAACTACACTCTCTCTTCAGCATCCACGGTGACTACCTTCTCCCCTACACTCGCCCCATCCGTGCTCTCACCTGGGTCCCTGCTGGGTCCTGCTCCATCCATGCTCACCTCTGCACCCCCTGCCGACACGCTCTCTGGTCCACATTCTAATCTCTTCTCTTCACCCTGTTTGTCACTTCCTTACTCCGTCTTCCTTGTTATTTTCATCTCTGTCACACTATTTCCTTCCATCCACACCTGCACCACCTGTCCACACGGACACATCTTTCCTCTGTCCATACCAGCCAGCTCTCTTCCTGTCCATCCGTCTGTACCCACACTAACCCTCCTTGCCATCCCACCCTCTTCACTCCATCCCATCATAGGCCATCGACCGCAGCTCTAGCCGAACCTCTTCCTACCTCGAGAGCTCCTCCTCGGCCCCACCAGCCACCCAGCCGAGACCCACTATGCAGAAGGTAGCGGGAGGCAGGGGTGGGTCATGCAATGTTGGCCTGGGCCTGACAGAGGGGTCCAGAGCTCCCATCCCCTGAGCCCAGTAGGGTCTGGAGAGCCCAGGGTCTGACACCTGCTCCCTCTTTCCTGCATGGCCACCTGCTGCTCTAACCCCAAGCCTCCAGCTTCATCCTCCCCATCATGCTCTCCAGAGGGGGGTATGGGCGGGCCCCTCTGCTCTCTGTGACCTCTGCCCCTGCTTCCAGCTACTTCACGAGGAGCTGGCTCTGCAGTGGGTGGTCAGCGGCAGTGCCGTGCGCGAGGCGGTCCTGCAGCACGCCTGGTTCTTCTTCCAGCTCATGGTGAGACGACCTTGTCCCTGCCCAGAGCACAAGGCCCCCGGGGAGACTCTAGAGAGAAGTCTCCTGAGATTATACCTGAGACCCCTGAGAAATGGCCTCCAGTGACCCCCCCACATAGCGAGAGAGAAAAGAGACACCTAAGGGGATCTTTCCCTGGAGAGAGATCCCCTGAAGCCCCCTCCATGGGAGAAGACTCTCCCCCACATTCCCTATGAGCCTGTCTGGAGAGGACACCCCTGTGGGAATACTTGAGACATCACCAAAACTCTTCAAGAGGTGCCTTGAAAGACCCCTCCTGATTACAGGCTGTGGCCCCCCCCAATCAGATGGGCTCCCTCAAACCCCACCCCTCAAGCCCTGTCCTATCCACAGACTTTACCCCAGAAGACCTGCTTCAGCCCCTCCCACACTGGCTCAGCCTGGGGCCCACTCAGGCTCTGTCCATAGCCTTCTCAAGTCCTGCCCACAGCCTCAGGCCCTGAACTTAGCTCAGAACTAAGATGGGGTTCAAGCCCCATGCAGGACTCCTCATGCCCACCTTTACCTTGCCTCCCTTGCTGCTAAAATACCATTTGCAGCCCCTCAAACCCTGTCCCCATCTGTGAAGCCCCTTACCCACAGCCCCTCACACCTTGGCTCTCGCCTGGCCTCCAGGTGAAAAGCATGGCCCTGCACCTGATTCTGAGCCAGCGGCTGGACACACCCCGCAAGCTTCGCTTCCCGGGGCGCTTCCTGGATGACATTTCTGCTCTCGTGGGCTCTGTGGGCCTGGAAGTCATCACCCGGGTCCACAAGGTAAAAGAGAAGGGGCCTCGATAGGGGAGGGGGGAAGGGAGGGGGTAGAACCAGCCAGGCAGGGACACCCATCCTGCCCCATGCTTCCTGGCTGTGAGACCATGAATCCCGTTTGCTGGCTGGGTCTGTTCATTCAATACCTACTGTGTGCAGAGCCCCGTGCTGGGCGTAGAGACAGCAGTGAACAAACAGACCTAAATCCTTGCCCTCATGGAGCTGACTATTAGGAAGAGATTTGAAGGGAGCGATTTATTTGACTTCTGGGGGAAGAGCATTGCAAGCAGGGGGAATTAGCAAGTGAAAAGGCCCTGAGGCAGAGCGGTGCCTGGGCTGTCTGAGGAGCAATGAAGTGATGACTGTGGCTGGAATGGAGTGAGCAAACCAGGAATGGGAGCTGGGAAGGCAGAGAAGTGACAGATCCTTAGCCCTTACCACAGTGTCAGTATTCAGTAAGTGTCCAATAGAAGGATATTAATGTTCTGAGACCTTGACCATTGTCCAGGCCCCGGAGCACTAATTCCAATGCTCTTAGGAGTTAGGCAGGCAATGATAATGATAGTAATATTATTGAGCATTTATTGAGTGCTTACTGTGTATCTAAACACTTTAGATGAATCATATCATTAAATTCTCCCAACAACCCCATAAAGTTTTATTATTATCTCCATTTTACCGATGGAGAAACTGAGGCAGAGACCTGATACCACAAAAGAGAAGGGGCAGAATTGGGGATTCGGACTCAAGCCACCAAGTCCAGAGCTTACACCCTTATCATCACCTTCAGTTGGGAACGTGGAGCCTATGAAGGACCAGAGCGCTTGTGCTCATTAGCTGTAGCCATAATGTCTCATTTTAAAAGTGAAATGGGACTTCGGATTTTATGGGAACTTTCCAGATTTGTGAAACACCAGTCTGGCTCAAGCCAGCCCTTGTGCAATCCCCTGCAACCTCTGGGCTGGTCTCGAAGGTCTCGACCTTGTTCCACTGGAGCCTCCCTAAGGGCTGACATTCCCAGGGGCTTACCCAAATTATGAGGAAACCACCCTGAGAAAGGGCTGCAGGGAAGAACAATGCCCCCGAGAAGCAGCATCGTCAGAGCTGCTAGTGGGGCATCGGTGACGGGCTACAGTGGTTTCATTTGTCGAGCACCAACTGCATCAGGCTCAGTGCACAAGGCAGATCCAGCCCCTGCCCCACCGTGGACTCAGAGCTCAAGCAGGTTTTCTTTCTTCGGGTTGCAGAGAACTAAGAGCCACTGAGACTGACTTGTGAGGCCAGAGTGGCTCGTGAGAGCCTGAGGGAGGAACAAGCACCAGCTGGGCCCTGAAGCCATAGCAACCTCCTTGTGTTCTTCACACTTGCTGGGCACATCTGTCCCAGGGTCTTTGCCTTGTCCTTTCCTCTGCTTAGAATGCCTTTTTTCTCATCCTTCAAACTTCTCTCAAAACCTTGTTCAGTTGTCTTCGAAACACATAAAATTATCTGGAGTCCTTTGGTTTATTGTGGTTCCCAGCAGTACGTGCTCGTCATTAAAACGATTGTTGGGGCTTACCAGTTAGCACCAAGGTTAGTTTGCTCCAACATAATCACAAGTGGTTTAAATGTGCCCCAAGTTTATTTCTGAGCATAAGTGAGCTGTGTGGCTCCATAGTGTGGGCCTGGCCATCAGGGTTCACCATGGTTCATCGGTGTGGCAGGCTTGACAGGCTGTGGGACCAGGAAGACCTGCCCCTTCCATTTAAGTGGTTGCGGTATTTTCCCTCAAATCCCACTGGCCGGAATGTGATCACATGGTTAGTCTCATCAGCAAGGAAGGCTGGGAAATGTAGTCTTTACCCCTCTCCAAACTCATACCCTGAGAAATGGGAAGAGAGGGTCTAGGGGGGAGTCAGCAGCCAGTCTCTGCCATCCATGTTGTGTTATTTAAATCTGGTGAGAGGAAAGAAAATAGTGTTAGGACAGTGCCCTGAGGGGTGTGGACACGTACGTGTGGGGAAGGAAGGGGCTAGTCAGAGGAAGGAGACAGCCAGCGAGGCCTGGAGTGGCAAGAGCGCTGAGATGGGCGGGTTAAGAAGACCCAAGGCTCTGGGGCTGTGATGTGGCTCCTGGAGGTCGCTGGTGGCCTTGGTGAGAGCCAGGCCCTGTGTGGGGACTGAAGCTCGTTGGGGTGTGTGAGTGTGAGCTGACAGGCCCTGTGTTCCCAGGACACGGAGCTGGCCGAGCGCCTCAACGCCAGCCTGGCCTTCTTCCTCAGCGACCTGCTCTCCCTGGTGGACCGAGGCTTTGTGTTCAGCCTGGTCCGGGCCCACTACAAGCAGGTAGGGGTGGGCATGTAGGAATGGCACACCTATCTGTGGTGACGTGGTGGGTGTGGTGGGTGGAGAAACTGTAAATGTTGCCCACTGACTCCCTCCATGGCAGGTGGCCACACGGATGCAGTCGGCCCCCAACCCGGTGGCGCTGCTGACCCTACGCATGGACTTCACCCGCATCCTGTGCAGCCACGAGCACTATGTGACTCTCAACCTCCCCTGCTGCCCCCTGTCGCCCCCGGCCTCACCCTCACCCTCCGTGTCCTCCACCACCTCCCAGGTGGGCAGGCTTCATTTCTGGCTCCTCTCTTGACCTATGACCTCTCACCTTAAACCAATCTCTTCTGGGGTTCCCTAGTCTCTGTCCATTTTATGGTGGGCCACTGCCCAGGGGGACCAACCCTTTACCTCTGATCCTGCACCTCAGACCCCTCATGTTCAGCAGTTTCCTGGAGACCAGGTTCTAATTTCTCACCTCTAAATCTTAACTCACAGACCTGCCTTCCATATGCTATTTCTCAGACCTCTGACTTTTGACCCCATTCCCTCACCTCACAGATAGGTTAACCTCATTCGCTTACCTCTGACCCTGAACTCTGTGCTCACTGTCACCTCCAGATAATTCTAATCTCTCACTTCTAACCCTTAACTTCAGATGAATTCATCCTACCCCCTCACCTCTGACCCTGCTTCCTCCCCACCCCACCCCCCGCGCCCTCTGCAGAGTTCCACCTTCTCCAGCCAGGCCCCAGACCCCAAGGTGACCAGCATGTTTGAGCTGAGTGGGCCATTCCGACAGCAGCACTTTCTGGCTGGGCTTCTGCTGACAGAACTGGCGCTGGCCTTGGAGCCTGAGGCTGAGGGGTGAGCACAGGCCTTGTTTGGCCCCAGCGGGTGGGAAGGTCCAGGCACTGTGTCTACTCTCTCCTGAGCGCCTTCCTACTCCACAGGGCATCCCAGCTGCACAAGAAGGCCATCAGTGCCGTCCACAGCCTGCTCTGTGGCCATGATGTTGACCCTCGTTATGCCGAGGCCACCGTGAAGGCCCGTGTGGCTGAGCTGTACCTGCCACTGCTGTCACTGGCCCGGGACACACTGTCACGGCTGCATGATTTTGCTGGTCAGTGGGCCAGGGCAGGATGGAGTCACACAATCCAAGGGCTGGATTGACACACAAAGTTCAGGTTGGGAAAGGTAGGAGAGCAGTTAGGAGAGCAGTGAAAACATGGATTTAGGTTAAATAGGTTGATTTCGAGTGCTGGTGCAGGGCTCTGGCAAGCCATTAACTTCTCTGAGCCGCAGGTTTCTCACCTGTAAAACGGGGAGAGTGGTAGTACCAACTGCTTTCTATAGTTATGTAAACATTTGCAGAGCCTTAGCACTGGGACATTGTCAGCCCACAATAAACGGGAGATATTATTAAAACATTTATTAGCGCCCTGGCCGGTTTGGCTCAGCGGTTGGAGCGTCGGCCTGCGGTACAGAGAAACCCGGGTTCGGTTCCCGCTAAGGGCACGTACCTCGGTTGCAGTTTGTCCCCGGCCCTGGTTGGTCGTGTGGGTGGCAGCCACTCGATGTGTCCCTTCACATCGATGTTTCTCTCTCTCTCTCTTCCTCTCTCTCCCTCCCGCTCTATCCGAACAAAAAATGGAAAAATGTCCTCAGGTGAGGATAAAAAACAAACAAACAAACACAAAAAAAACATTAGCTTCTAAGAAGAGAGGATGTGAGGAAGGTGGGGAACATTAGGATGACAGGGCAGGTGGAGCCCTGCATTCAGTCATTCACTCATGTGCACATTCATGGGCACTACCTAGGGACATATAGACAGTGCTTGGAAGCACAGACTTGGGATTTGTGGATTGAACCCTTTCATCATTTGGAGGAAATTCTTAGTTTTTATTTCTTCAGATTTTTTTTTCTGCCTCATTTTTTCTTTAAAAAATTTGTTTTTTCGCCCAACTGGTGTGGCTCAGTGGTTGAGCATCAACCCATGCACCAAGAGGTCGTTGGTTCGATTCCTGGTCAGGGCATGTGCCCAGGTTGTGAGAGAGAAAGGGAGAGGGAGAAAGAGATAGAAACATCGATGAGAGAGAACACTGATTGGCCACCTCCTGCATGCCCTCCACTGGGGATTGGGCCCACAGCATGGGCATGTGTTTTGATCAGGAATTGAACCAGTGACCTCTTGGTGCATGGGTCGATGCTCAACCACTGGGCCACACAGGCCGGGCTCTGCCTCGCATTTTTTTTTGTTCAGATAGAGTGGGAGGGAGAGGAAAGGAAGAGAGAGAGAAACATCGACATGAAAGGGACATATCGAGTAGCTGCCACCCGCATGACCCAACCAGGGCCGGGGACAAACTGCAACTGAGATACGTGCCCTTAGTGGGAACCGAACCCAGTTCTCTCTGGACCGCAGGCCGATGCTCTAACCACTGAGCCAAACCGGCCAGGGCTGTAGACCTTTTGATCATGTTGCACAAGCCTACTATGCTCTGTTCTGTTTTCCATTCTTTGTCCTCTCTGTGCTTCACTTGGGAAATGTTCTGTTCACCTGTTTTTGAGTTCACTACTTCTGTCTTCTGCGTGTTTTTGTTAACTCCATCCACTGAGTTCTGAATTTCAGGTGTTATATTTTTGATTAGGAAAATGTCTATTTGATTTTTTTTTTTTTTTTTTTTGTAGATTCAAATTCTCTGTTGAAATTCTCCATCTTTTTACCCATTTTAGTCTGTCTTTTCTACTTCTTATTATTTTAAAGTCTTTGTTTGCTTTTGGTCATCTACGCGCCTGCTTCTGTTGTCTTTCTCTATCAATTAGTTTCCTGCTTCTTCACACGTCTTGTAGCTTTTTATTGTATATAAAAGAACCATCAGGATTGAAGCAATGTTATTTTTCCCTATTGAGGGTCCCTCTTTCCCTCTCTTAGGCAGATGAGTTAAGGGGCTGAGCAGGGGCTGGATCACCTCAATCCAGTGAGAAACTGAGCTTGGTAAAGCTGGGCTGGAGCTATAGTTAAACAGTTGACTTATTTCAAGAATCTCTAGGGTGAGACCTATTCTGTATTTGTTGACCACTCCTATCTCTGTTGAGACGTTTTGGGAGGAGGTGAAGGTGAAGGGGCACTCTTATAAGATCATAGATTTTTAAGATCAGACCGTTTAGGTTAAAATCCTAGCTTTCCTATGTACCTACCTGCTGTGTGACCTGGGGCAAGTAACTTAACCTCTAGAGAGATTAATCTCAGTTTCCCCATCTATAAAGTAGGAATAAAAAAAGTACTTATCTCATAGGGTTTTTTGAAGATTAGTGGTTAATTTTTAAGTTAGAATAGCACCTAGCACATAGGAGATGCTGTGTAAGTGCCAACTGATGCTGTGCTAAAGCAGCAGCGTATGTTGCTGTTGTCATCACCGTCATCACCTTTACAGTTACTGTTCCTGTGGGCCAGGTCATGTTCTGAGTGTTAAGCATATACCAGTGGCCAGAGTAGATATAGTCCATGCCTTTGTGGACACAATCAATGTGTCTAATTATAAGTATGATCTAATTATAAGTATCTAATTATAAGTATGATAAAGGAGCTCTGGGAGTAGATGATTGGAGACTCCATCCTGGTTTGAGGGGTAGTATCAGGGAAGGCTTCCATGAGGAGGTGACCTGTGAACTGAAATTTGAGGCAGCAGGACAGCACTTACCAAGGACTCATACTTCTTTCCTCCTGCTCCTCCCTCCAGAGGGCCCAGGTCAACGGTCAAGGCTGGCTTCAATGCTCGATTCAGACACAGAAGCGGAAGGGGATATTGGAGGCACCATCAACCCTTCAGTGGCTATGGCCATCGCTGGTGGCCCCCTGGCCCCTGGCTCCCGGTCCAGCATCTCCCAGGGCCCAGCAACTGTGAGTACAGGGCTGATCTCCAGAGACACCATCCAACTCTGTAATAGAAGTTATAATGAGATTCTAATCAACCAGTTCTCTTATTTGAAGAAAACCTTCTGTGTGCCTTGTTCCCTCTCGCCCCAGGCTTCTCGCTCAGGCTGTCCCCTCTCTGCCGAGTCCAGCCGGACCCTGCTGGTGTGTGTGCTGTGGGTACTGAAGAATGCAGAGCCAGCCCTCCTGCAGCACTGGGCTGGCGACCTGGCCCTCCCTCAGCTGGGTCGTCTCTTAGACTTGCTGTACCTCTGCCTGGCTGCCTTCGAGTACAAGGTTTGGGGGTGGGCAGGGACTGGGATGTAGGAGGCAGGCTGAGGATGCACACAGGGCTTTCGGTGCTATGGTCTGGACATGAAGGGGCGGACTGTCCTCGTGCGCCAGTTTGTGTGGGTCGAGGGGCACCCTGTTTCTGTGCTGAGCCAAAGAGGAAAGGGAGAATTGTTTCTGTGAATAGAATTGGGACGGTGCTGAGGGCTTGCAGTGAAGAGGAGAGCTGCACGGGGCCCCAGAGGTCGGAAGGGGCCAGAAGAAGGGGAACCAGGATAGCCCAGGTCCCACGGAAAGGGGCAGAGTCAACCTGGAACCCGTTCTTTGACGTCCCAGGGGAAAAAGGCCTTTGAGCGTATCAACAGCCTCACATTCAAGAAGTCACTAGACATGAAGGCTCGGCTGGAAGAAGCCATCTTGGGCACCATTGGAGCACGACAGGAGATGGTGCGACGGAGCCGTGGTGAGAAGGAGATATGTCCTATCCCTGTCCCCACCAGCTGCTCCCACCCTGTGTCCGAGGGTCCCCAAGATGGCTCATCCTACACCTGACTCACTTTTTCCAGAAGGCCATGCATCATTCCCATACACATGGGTGTCTGTGTCCCCATCTGCTCACGTCACTCATGTCTACCTGTGTGCACCCACGCCACAGGCAGCCGTACCACCCAGTGTCCTCATAGGTTATTCCACCCGTGCATCTTTGTGCCTGTGTACTTCTCACAATCACCTGTGTCCTTATGTTTTTGCACATCTGTGAACACTTGCCTACACATCTCAGAGAGGAGCCCATTTGGGAACCAGGAGAATGTACGCTGGCGGAAGAGCATCACACACTGGAGACAAACCTCGGACCGTGTGGACAAGTAGGTGTTGGGCAGAAGTAGTTTCCAGAGAACTGGCACCTCAGGAGCACCTGAGGGAGGGGGACAGCTCAGTGGTGGGGTAGGATCTGGCTTCGAGAGGCTCCCCAATCCCCACCACTCCCCTTTAGAACCAAGGATGAAATGGAACACGAGGCCTTGGTGGACGGGAACCTGGCAACTGAGGCGAGCTTGATAGTTCTGGACACACTGGAGATCATCGTGCAGGTAAGGCTTGATCTAGTGTCTTCCTGACCTCTGACCCCACCCCAATGCCTTGTGACCTCGGACTCCAGAATCCCTCTTTTTTCCTGATTTCATAACCAAACCAGCCTCTAATAACTGCACTTCTGACCCCACAGACGGTGATACTGTCAGAGGCCCGGGAGAGTATCTTGGGTGCAGTACTGAAGGTCGTATTGTATAGTCTGGGTAGTGCCCAGAGTGCCCTCTTCTTGCAGCATGGCCTGGCCACACAGCGGTCCCTGGTGTCCAAGGTGAGCACTATTCGGCAGCTCTGGCTCTTAGAGTCATAGTGACAACCCAGTCATTGAGCACCAACTATGTGCTCAGCAATTCCGTGAGGCAGACACTCCTTAGTCACAGTTTACAGAGGACAGAACTGAGGATCAGAGTGGCAGAGTCACTCACCCAGTGTCACACAGCAAGGGCTTAATCCAGGTTTGATTCCAAAGCCTGCAGTGTGGCCAAAGAAGGCAGAACACTGACAGGTGCCCCTGCGCAAGTCCCCGTGGGGGACCTTCTGATCTAGCATGGGGAGGGGCTGAGCCGTGTCTGTCTTGGCCCTGGGGGCAGTTCCCAGAGCTGCTGTTTGAGGAAGACACAGAGCTGTGTGCTGACCTCTGCTTGAGGCTCCTGCGACACTGCGGCAGCCGCATCAGCACCATCCGCACGCATGCCAGCGCCTCACTCTACCTCCTCATGCGCCAGAATTTTGAGATTGGCCATGTAAGTAGGGGGGGCCGACCAGGGGTTTGGTGTGATAGGTGGAGGGTGGGCAGGGAGAGGGGTGAAGTCAGCATGTCGAGCAGGTCCTGGTGTGAGGGTCTGAGGCCCACAGTTGTACTCCCCTCTCTGGACCCCGCAGAACTTTGCCCGTGTGAAGATGCAAGTGACCATGTCACTGTCATCCCTGGTGGGGACGACGCAGAATTTCAGTGAGGAGCACCTGCGACGCTCTCTTAAGACCATCCTCACCTATGCTGAGGAAGACATGGGGCTACGGGATAGCACTTTCGCCGAGCAGGTGACCCCACCAGGCCCCTGCCCTACTCTCAGCAACCCAAGAGTCTGCCCTGCTTGAATTCTTATCACACCACCTTGGCCCTGTCACTTCCCCATGAAGTCCACTTCCCCATTCCAGGTCCAGGACCTGATGTTCAACCTGCACATGATCCTGACAGACACAGTTAAGATGAAAGAGCATCAGGAGGACCCCGAGATGCTCATTGACCTCATGTACAGGTGAGGAGGGCTAGGGTCCTTAAGCCATTCACACCCAGACGGGCTAGGGGACAGATAAGTAGATATATGAGAAAGTGAGGAGGGAGCAGGTGAGCACACAGGTGGTAAGAGGGACAAGTAAAGAGAGACAGGTGAAGAAAATCAGGTGAGTGAGGGGATAGGTAAGGGGACAAGTTAAGGTGAGGACTTGTAAATGACCAGATAAAAGGGTGCTAGATGAACCTACAGAACAAAGACAAGAGGAGACAGGTGAGTGCAAACAATGGGTGAAGGGGTGACAGATCAGGGAAATAAGTGATCTGGAGGAGAGGTGAGGGGTATTTAGTAAGAAAGTGGGGAGTGGGAGACGAAAAAGCAGATGATGCAGATAGGGAAGTTAGGGGGCATATAGAAGGGCTGGACCTGGGGAGGCAGGTGAAATGGTGCATGTGTAGGGGGGTCAGTGAGTAGGGTGTGGCCTGAGGTTCCGCAGGTAAACAGATGGGCAGAAGGACAAGTGAGAGAATGACACTTGGGGTAGTGAAAGGATGGACAGTGAGGATTGAATGAGGGACTGGACACGTGAGGGACTGGATAAGTGAGAAGACAGGTGACTGGAGGGAGAGGGGAGAGATGGACAGGCAAATGGGCAGACAGGTGAGAGGTTGGACAGGCAAGGGAATAGGTGAGGGACTGGACAGGTGATAGGTGAGGATACAGAAGGGGGATGGACAGGTGGGTTAGGAGCTAAGGGGATGGACAGGTGATTTAGGTGAAAGGATAGAAGGTAGGACAGTAAAGGAAACGGGTAAGAGGATGGCCTGGTGAATGGGGTACAGGAGAATGGATGGACAGGTAAGACAGGTGAGGAAGCAGGTGAAGGGTGGACAGGTGAGGAGATTGGCTGGTCATTGGGGCAGATGGGCAGGGTAACAAGTGAAGGAGGTGGGTAAGGTGAGCTCCCATCTTCCTCCTCACATCCCCTCTCACCTGGACACCAGGATTGCCCGGGGCTACCAGGGCTCCCCGGACCTGCGGCTGACATGGCTGCAGAACATGGCGGGAAAGCATGCAGAGCTGGGCAACCATGCGGAGGCCGCACAGTGCATGGTGCACGCGGCCGCACTGGTGGCTGAGTACCTTGCCCTGCTCGAAGACAGCCGCTACCTGCCCGTGGGCTGCGTTTCCTTCCAGGTGAGTGGTGGGAGGGGTTGTGGGCAGGGTGGGGGTGGCACATGTGGGGCAGGGATCAGGCTCTGACACCACGTCCCACCCCAGAACATCTCGTCAAACGTGCTGGAGGAGTCTGCCATCTCCGACGACATCCTGTCGCCTGACGAGGAGGGCTTCTGCTCTGGGAAGCACTTTACAGAGCTGGGGCTGGTGGGGCTGCTGGAGCAGGCGGCTGCCTACTTCACCATGGTGAGGCTTGGGGCTGCTGCAGGACACAGGGCTCGGGCTGGGTGGCATCATGGATCCACTGGTGGCCCAATACCTGCTCTGGGCTACTGAAGGGGGAGCTGCTGCCTGGCCCTTTCCAGGTGGGGGATTTATAAAGAAGAATGGGGACCCTCAAAGGTCCCCATTACCTGCCTTTCTCCCTGTTAAACCCTTGACATATAGGCTGGATATCATAGCCTTGAACATATTTAGCTAGTTTTAAAAACTTTTTTAGTATAGCCCTGGCTGGTGTGGGTCAGTGGTTAGAGCGTTGGCCTGAACACCGAAGGGTTGCTGGTTCAATTCCTGGTCAAGAGCATGTACCTCAGTTGTAGGTTCGATCCTTGGCCCTGGTCAAGGCACGTGCTAGAGGCAACCAATCGAGGTGTCTCTATCACACTGATGTTTCTCTCTTCCCCTCCCTTCCATTCCTCGCTTCCACTTTCTAAAAAATCATTGGAAAAAAATATCCTCGGGTGAGGATTAACCAAAACAAACAAACAAACAAACAAACAAACAAACAAAAAAACCCACTTTTTTCTTATAGAAAATTTTAAGCACACATGAAAACAGAAGGTTGTACCCCCACTACCATACTCAGCACTCAAATTCATCAACCACCTGTATTTACCATCTTGTTCCATCTCCTCTTTACCTCTAGCTTTTTTGGGTTTACGTTTTTGGATTTTGTGGGTTTTTTTAACATCTGAAAAAACAAGATCCCAATTTTCACAAATTTATAAACTCTCGCTACTCAGTATGGTCAGACGACCAGCAGTGTGACCATCACCCAGGGCTTGTTAGAAATGCAGAGTCCTGGGCCACCCAGCGCTCTGAACCCTGCATTTTAACAAGAGTTGATTCCTGCGTGCACTGGAGTCACAGAAATTCCAGCTTAAAGCAAATCTGATATCACACTGTCACACCCACGAGTACCTGTGTGCAGCTCCTGCTGAGAAAGTCACTTT